CAATGTGACAGAAAATAACACTGTGTGAGACAAGCATTGAAGACACTCATCATTTGGGCGCTGATATTCCTTGGGAGGTTCAATAACATTGTGCTGGAAATTCTGTCCATTCCGGTAGCCTTCCTAGGTTTACATTTTTTTACGGATTCATTTTCTTTCTCGTACTATATTGTAGATTTGAGTTAAAGAGTTTGGCTGCATAGCAAGTAGTTTATTGGTGAGAAAAGTACTGAAATGTGAAAAGCTCTGATATTAAAATTTTGAAAGCGTTAGAAATTACTGGATTGGAATTCAGGTCACTAATTAAAAAAAAAAAAATTGTAAGTGACAAACTCTTTAAATAAATCCAGTTCACCAGTAGAAGTTTTATGAGTAAATTTTGCAGAATCAGAATCAAAATTGTAATTCAACTAAGATTAGCTATGGAAAATACTATTTTCTTTCTTCTTTTCGAACAAGAAATTAAATTTCCTTGATTCCTTATATTAATGCTATTATAGTTTGGCCTACATATGATATACCACACTGACAGTATATTCTATAAACTCTCCAAGAATTAAAATAAATAGTATAATTAGAAATCGGAGAGCGAACCTTATTGTTAGGTGAGAAAATAATATGAAAGTCGAAATTCTGGAGAATCTCACCTACTTTATAACTAACAGATGGATGGAATGGAATAACCGAAAGTCACTAAAGCTATTTCTAAGAGCGGGAGGGTTTTTTGGATGGAAAATCGAACATTTTTAAGGATATATCGACGATTGGGGGAAACAATCCACTGACAATAACAACCAATTTTAAATAATTTGAGAAAGCATAGGGAAAAAAATTTGAACGTATGATGCAAATAAGAGTAAAAGGAAACCATTTTTTTAAATTCCTACTATTAGTTCACATTCTCCCTATATCTAGTTCAAATTTTCAATCGTTATTCATCCACTCAAGTTCATACATTTTTAAAAACTTGTAGTGGATGACACTTGATGTTAATATAGTTTTTTCACATATTAAAGTCAATCCCTACTTATTTATTCCTGTTTATCGGAATTAAAAATATGCTGTTTTATTAAATATATCGCTTAAAAATAATGACCGTTTATTAGAAATTCTCACGTACCGTGAAAATTAATTTTATAACATTTTATAAATAATAGTACATGACTGTGATAAATGGGATTGTAATATTTAACGAAAATAAGTGGCAACAGTAAGACAGAGTTCTAAAGATTTTTAAAGTGTATGGAATTAAAGAATTGAAGTTTTATAGAGTTGAATGAAGCGGATGTGATGTCCGATTATGTATCGAAAATTCTGCCCATATTTCTATGTTGACGTGATAATAATATATGTTTAAAATATAATCTTTTAAAATGTACCTTGCTTCACAAACGGAGAATGCGAAAAGAAATTACAACACAACATATAATATTAATAATCCATTAATATTATACTCTTCGCAGCAGGTCAAGCATATGTCGCCTCGAGTTGTGTGAACTCAGTGGATGGAATATTAATCGAAGTACTGGACTGCTCGAAACTCACTGGAAAGGTTCCTTGCAGCAATGAAGCATTACAAGAGATGGATAGAATGAGAAATTATAGACCCCCATCAGCTTCATAATTTATAAGCAAAAAAATTTTGATGATGCTAATAAAAAGTAACTAAAATAAAAATTTTCTTTTTTGACCTAAGTAGGAACTGACTTTATTTATTTATTTATTTATTTTAAATATTACTTGTTGTTCAGTAGTTATGGCATGAAATAGCAAACAGCAAATTCATTGAATTAGAATACCAAGGACAGAAAAGGAGTAATTGGATGGCTGGATGAATCAAATTCATAGCAGACAAAGTTTGTTAAAATCTTCTTTGTTACTGCTGAAAAGCTTGAATTCAGAGAAAAGATGTTTTTTCAAATAATTTGACATCAAAATAGCGCATGAAAATTGTCAACAGATACTACATTGAGGAAATTACCTGTAGGTAGTTCTTCAGTTTGTCAAAAATAAAGTAATTAATAATTCTAATATAGTCCTTTTTAACACTTTCAGAATTCTCATATCTTAACTTTTCTCGTTTAATGATTATTTTCCGCGATAGATGGCATTACGTTCGGGCTCCCTTTGTTAGTGTCATTGGAGGCTCCAACGAACGCTGTCTATACACATAATGTTAAAATGTTTAATATGTACACGTTAAGTAAAATGTTACACGTTAATAATTAGAACATTGTAGTGCTTCTCATTATTGCAATCACGATCTGATTATTAATAAAACTTAAATTTTACGCAGATATTTGTGTTTGCATGACTGTATTTTGGTTTCTGCGCATTTGTACAGTATTAAGTACTGTTTTATTTATTTATTTATGTATTTAGTAAAAATAATGGAATAATTTTACTTAGTATTTTTGTTAGACAAATGTGTAGCCACTTATTTTTATAAGCGCTTATTTAATACATTATATTATAGATTTAGCAATCCGGATTCAATCGACTTAAAAATTGTGGAAATAGGTCAATTAGGATCTGAGATATGAATAATTTGTTGCCTGGTTCACGACATTTAACAATTTTTCGTCTACTTGTAGACATTCTGGAAGTTTAAAGAAAACATCTTTTTAAAGTACAGGGATCGATTTTTCTCAAAGGTTCTAGAATTGCTGAGCAACATTGTAAATACGGCTGGGTAAAATTCAAGCCTCGGTTAACCGGATAATGTTGGAGGTCATACGATTACATTGAGCTTTCACTCAGAATATTCTGCTCTATGTGACTAATTTGGGTTATCTGCGATATTCTTCGAGTAGTCAAGACAACTTCTTTACATATGTTTTACTGGTTGAGTTATTTATAGCTGCTTATCTAACTACAGAAGTTGTTACTTTTTTCAGTAATGTCACGAGGAAGTGTCATTTTCTTGCTCGTGATCTGGCATGGTTATTAGAGTTCAACAAACTCGTAAAACCTGTGAAAATATTGATTTGCTCACCATATTCACATATAACAAACTCACATTCCATACAATACATCAACAAATTTGGGTAATTGTACTGTGCAATTCATTAGTTTATTTAAAAATTTCAGGCTTTAACCAGTTAATATGTTTATTTGGATCGAATTTTAACAGCGAAACCACAGCAAAAGCATTTACCAAAATCGAAAAGTTATTTCAGCTTGTATGTAGCTTCTGGATTATTCACTAGATGGCAGCACCAGCAAGTATAAAGCTTTTTAAATATATTTCGCTTGAAGAATAAAGTCCCGATTTTCATTTAATCAAAATTCCCTGATTTTTCTGAATTTCTTAAGCTTGTATGTACCATTCAGTTACCTTTCATTAAATTGCTTTCTTCCAAATGTCTAAATTTTTTCCCAGACTAAAATTTAAATTTTCCCTAATCATAATATTGAAATAAGATTCCCTTGCTTTAGGCTCTCTAAAATTCATCTGTTTTTGACACACATTCATTTGTTTTTTTGAATAATAGCAATATACCTAGTAATTAATTTAGTTTTACTTCTAGCAACAGCTTATTGTTTGAAATATCTGTTGCTTTTAAATTAATTCTTCTTTCAAAATGTCACAAATAGATAAGCTGTGGACAATTGTGGCTTAGGACAATTGGAAGTCTCTTTTATGTGTATTATTGCTACTAGATCCTGTTCAACATCAAGCTCTGAGGATTTGTTCTTGAACCTTCAGAACATCTTTTTACGGAGAGTATGCACACAGCTTATTGTACTTTTATGTATATATAGAGCTTTACATGAGCTTCTACTGCTCAGAAATATCGCCTCAGTTGAGACAACAGCAGTTATGTCTTCATCGCTATTTTAGTATGATGTCACAACCTAACCACCCTGGTCATCTGCATGATCTTAAAGTCCCTTATAACGTGTTATTCGAATCGAGGCCTCTTTGCATACTTCCATTGCCTGCAAGAGTTCAACGACTGATATAATAATATTTCATGTCTTATTGAAGGCTCAGGCACTACAGCAAATTAATATCCCGCCTTCGAATAATCCAGCAATTCAACTTCTAGATGTTTTCTACTTATGAGAAACCACTAACGAGATAATGAATGTATGGAAAATATTTTCTTGAGCACAGGCATAAATACATCAGTTACATTCCAATATACACAGATGTCTCAAAAACAGCTGTCATGTAGGAGCATCGCAGTGACTGGAATTCATTTTCGTGACAGAATTATTTGCGACTGATTTAGAATCTAAAACTTCAATAAACTGGAGATAATTTTGCGAAAAATCCTCTTAAACGTCTAAACATCTTGAACAGATAGGCGTCTTACACGGATTTTCTAAAGTAAATGAAATCACATTCGTTGTTATTAGGTCTTAAAGCAGCCATTATCAGATTTTCCAGGATTTATACTGCTAAAACATGACGAACTTTGCAATGAAAATTATGGTGAGCTCTAGAAATACATAGCTATTCTAGCAGAACTATAAAGTTACATGAATATTTAAGTAGTTAGAAACTAAAGAAATTAGTTTAAAAAGGAAGAATTATTTGATGATTATTATGAAAGAAATTTGGGCTCTTCCTGTTACAGTTACTTAACGCTAAAACTGTTAGTAAAATTTTTAAACCATTATAAGGAAAACAAAAACGGATACTCTGCTGTAATTAAAATAAGTCATGCATTCAAGAAATTAATATAATGCGTTTATATGTAATTTTAATTATTTGAAATAAATTTTGTTTATTATAATTTCATTATTTATTTAATATTCCTTAAACACATTGATAGAAATAATGTAAGCTGGTGATACTAGTGGGAAGCCAAGACAATTAGTGATGAATCTCAGCAATAACAACTGTTTTACTTCTACATCCCATACAATTATTCGTACTAGAAATCCATCATTAGTCTTGCGATAAAATATGCAACATTATTATGTGAGAAAATAATGTAGTTTCTCTGATTAGATTTATATTCGCAAAATGTAAAGAATCGTGAGCAAAGGAGGGTTAAATAATTTATTTAAAGATAATAAATTTCTTACAATTGTTGAATTGTTTAAATGGTTTAAATGTGGTATCTGAACCACACTTGCACTAATAATGCAAATAGATATGATAATGATACTTCCATCAATTATATCATTTTACCACTTGGATTAGAATTATATTCGTTTTTCTAATCTACCAAACCCGACACATATTCGTTGCATCCATTTCTGAAGCCGCGCAGTTAAAATCGTTGGCAAACTCTCGTAGATTAGCCACTGCTCCATTCACTCTAAAAAAGACCATTTTAAATACGTTCATCAAAAATTTGAACACTTAAATACGGTTTAATTCAAGCATTTCAACTTTTTTTTAAAAAAAACTGATTATTCAAGGAAATCTATAAATTAAATACTTTATATGAGATTATTATTTCAATATGCATAAAAAGGTAAATTATACTACTTCAACATTGCTGATAATAACACCAAAAAGTCATAGTTCCTCACCGAATTTTTGATGGAGTTTTCGATCCTGTAAGAACTTGGTTTTCGAGATATGTGTCTGTTTGCTTCTGACATAGCATCTGAAATAGTTATAATGTAGTGAAGCACTTATAACAAATGACCATATCAGGAAAATAAAATAAAATGGGCTTGCCGTTTTTCTTCGCTACGCAATAAAGATTTTAGATCTTAAACTGATATTTATATGAAACAGATCTTGAAAATTATACCTAAATTAAACATCAGCTTAGTTCAAAATGGAATAGCCGCACGCAGATGAAAAATTTTAAATTAGGCAAAAAAGTAGCTTTAAACTAACGTAGATTTTGGAATTATTCCCAAGTAGAAAATTATCCAAAAGTTTCTTTAGTTAGTGATTTTGATTTTCTTTTTATTCACAATGCGAGTCTTTCTTATTAAATGAAATTTGGGTTCTGTATTAAATAACATTAATTCCGATTTAGTTCTTTATAAAGCTTTCGGAACTCTAATATCTTAATTTTTTCATTTTTTGTTACTATTTTCCTTGACAAATGGTGCTACCTCATTTTCTTTTTACCAATCGATTTCTATATAAAATGGGATCACTTCTCCCACCTTTACAAAACAAACTCTTTTTTTTTTATCTTTTTGTTCCTGACCTATGTTTGAATTCCTTCGAAATCTATGAAAAATCCATAAAAAGTCTTATTCGAAACTTACTCCAATATAGGGAGTTTTTTGCCTAATTTTAAATCATCTGAATTAATTTACATTTCTAGAATATCGTATTTACTTGCATACCCTTCTCGCAGTTTTTTCCACCCTCGTATACAATGTAGTAATGTTCTATGTAAATGTACACTGAAAAAAAAAAAAAAAAAAAAAAGTAGGGGACAGTTCTATTGAGCGGATTGACGAAATTCAACTTGCTTTTTTCGTGTCTCGAAAGCGTGACTTAGCATATGTATTAGATTTATACATAGCATTTTTGTAACATAGGTAATTTGACACAAAATCGAACCTTTTCCGGAAACGACATGTCAGTTTGTTTTCATATTTAGATTCTATGACTCAAATTATGCCAAACTGCGAAGATTTGTAAAAATCGCAAGAGAAGTTTTTAAAAGATTAGCTCTCAAAATTTTAGCTCCTTCATGTTAATTGAATTTGGTAGTATATATTTATTAATATCTCTTTTTTCATTAAACTTATTTGATTTTTACCTTCACCTTTCGAAATTTAGGTTCATTCCTAACAAAATTCACGTATTTTTTATGATTTATTTTTAAAATTTGTATTTTTAAATAATTTTATAAATTTTTTTAAACAAATTTGAATTATAACCTATAAACGTTTTGCCATCATCTTAAAGCAGATGTATGTCTAAGCATACCTGCGAAAAATTAGAGTTTTAAATTCAAAATTTCTTAGGTTTTGCATATTTGTTGTAAGCGATAATAACGCCAAATGTGGCTTCATAAATTTTTGAATTTCTCCATACATTTTGCTCCAGATTTTGCAAAATGTAATATTTAGGCATAATTTGAGTCTTCGAAACGAAATACGGAAAAACATTGGCATATTATTTTAGAAAAAGACCTATTTTGTGTCAGAATACCTATATAAGAACAATGCTATATATAAATCTAATGTATATCCTAAGTCACGCTTTCGAGACACGCAATTTGAATTTCGTTAATCGGCCCAGTAGAACACCAAAAGGTATAGAACTGTATTTTTTTTTTTTTTTTTTTATGCGCAGTGTACTTTTTGTAATGTTCTGTGGAAAACTAGTTGTAATGTTTTGTGTTTTCCAATGTAAACTTGCTGTAATATTCAAATGACATGATAATTCATTCACTTTTCTAAACGAATACTTACATTTGCTGCACTGATCCAGAATAATTGGTTTGGCGTATAATTTACACCTGGTAAAATTTGCGGTTCTCTATTGCGAGTTAACCATGACTGATAAGCCTACAGAAGAGAGAAAGGAAAAGAAAAAATATGATACAAAAGTTTTTTTCAAATAAGTCAAAAACTGAAAAATCAGTCCAGATGTTCAGATATGTTCAGTTTCGTGCTAATACGAAATTTAATATTCGTTGAAACTGTTAATATTTTAAATTGTAACTCGTTTGTGACTATTATCGGATATAAACTAAAAATTTAGAAGAAAGAAATTTCAGTAGAATTAAGTAATAACAAATGCAGGTAAAACATGTCAAACTGATTTACAAAACAGAGCAAAATTTAAATAAAACAATTTAGAGTGCAGAATTTTGAACTAAACAATTTAGTCCAAACTTTCCATAAATACAAAATATACGGAAATATAAATCTTATTTAACTACACAGGCTTAATACCCCCACTTCAAAGAAATAAGCAAGAAAGTGTAGGATGGAATTTTACGTAACGTTCATGATATTTACATTTTACTGTTTAGTGAAGTTTTCCACAGTATATTCGGTAAATTAAATTGCAAAGAAATAAGCAAAAATTGTGTAGGATGAAATTTTAAGTGACATTCATAACATTTACATTTTAACGCTTAGTGAAGTTTCCCACTGTATGTTCGGTAAATTAAGTAGCAAGGAAATAAGCAAAAAAGTGTCGGACGGAATTTTAAGTAACATATTGACATACATTTTTAAAGTTTCCTAAAGTTTCCTGCAGTATGTTCAGTAAATTAAGTAGCAAGGAAATAGGTAAAAAAGTGTGGGATGGAATTTTAAATAACGTTCATGCTATTTACATTTTAACGCTTAGTGAAGTTTCCCACAGTATGATCGGTAAATTACAGAGCTGGGGCGAAAATTTCTTTATTCGGTTATTGTCGACAGCAACTCGATTTGTCCAGCTTGCTTCACAGATTATGACACTCAGTTCGCGCTGATATTCATGGTACCGACTAAGAGATGATTCGAAGTAATTGTTATTTTCTTACCTTATAAGCTACAATGAGACCTCCATTGTCTGCTACATTTTGTGGTAGTGTACCAGTGCCATTTATCTGCCAAAAGACATAATATTAATTTAAATGTATATTAAAGTTTTATCTTTTGTAAATAAAGGGATTACCACATTGTTCAGGATAATTTGTAGACATAATTCACCAATCAAATACATAATTTTTCAAAATGTAATTAATTATAATTTACATTAGAAAACAAATTTGTCAATAAAAGTCAGTTTAATAAAAATCGGTTAGTCCACCCGTAGAGACTGATACTTTTGGACGTTCGCCTAAATACGGCCCTTCGCGATTTGCTTTAGGGTTAGAAATAACGCCTTTAAGGGCAGATAATTTTAGTCAACTAGCCAGAGGAATCTCATTTGCGGTGACAGATACAGGTACAAGCTAGACCAGCGCCTTTGTAGTACCATTGGTTATTGTGGTATTGCTGAATCTAGTTAACTGTTGGGTTTCCGCTCCAGTTTTAAAGGATAGCACCCATGGGAGCTCCTTTCTTCTCCTAACCAATTTCTCAAGAAGACTTTCAGTCCTCCGTATATTTTGAGTGCCTCTTGCCGCACAGTCATTAGCCGCTTACAAACATCCATGCTTTTTCCGCAAGTGTAACAAAGGCAATACATCCATTCAGAGTATATGTGGAACAAGAGTCAGCCCTGAACACTGTAGAGACATTAGGTAATTTTTTTAAAGCAGAAGACGTAAAATATTAGCAATTCCCTCGTCGGGACTGGAACCACGGACCTCACGAATACGCGCCGAGTGTGCTGACGACTACACCATGAGGGCATGCTAAGAAGGAGGGATAAATACCTTATAACACTGCTTATTTAAATGCTCCCTCATCATCTAAAACTTTTGATTTCAGAAAGTGAAACAAATTATTTTATAAGATATGCTATCAAGAACAAACATCTCAAAAATGAAATCATAAGCGCGATGAACTGCCAACCTGTAATAGTTTTAATACATGGCAGAGAACATATGCTAAGCGACAAAACGAAAGAATAAGTTCGCAGCGCCTCTGCATACCGGAGATGAAAAATGGAAAGAATTTTATGTACAGATATATATGAAAAAATTTGGACATTAAAAACATGCAGATGCATAAAAAAGTACCGGCACTCATGGCTGATCTCTCTTTATTTTCTCAACAAGCATTTTTAATGCATCTTATTTATTAGCACTAAGCGAGCCCATTCTTAAGTGAATTAAAGATAATGTGGTAAGAAACGCAGCAACATTAATCTTAATTAATTTCGAATGCAATGCGTCCAAGATGAAACTTTCGTGTACAATGATTGGGTTTTAATTTAGTTTACGTCTATTAGTTAATAATAAGTTTCGTTTTCTAAATTTGAAAACGTTACTGACTGAAGCATTACGTAAATCTTTGCTCGACGAGTGAAACGCAAGAATCATAAGACAGGAATTAAATTTGAAATGACGCTGTTTAAAGCGACTTATTATAAGCAATTATTATTGTTAGAATGGAAAGGAGAAATATCCAAATTAAATTGGATAGTTTAAAAACTACTAGGAATGAAAGTTAATATTTCCCACTATGATAACTAAGGATTTTCAGTTGTTATTCATATGATAGATTGCAAAAAGCGACGTTTGTTACATAATATTCTCCGTTAATGTAAAAACTATCGAGATAAAGATATGTAATGCTTATGGAATATTTCTATTAAGAAAGAAGTTCAAGATTATTTTAGCGATTAGCACATTGAATGGAAGTTTATACTCAAAGTTGTAAAGTAAGTTAGTAAGAAAGTTTTTATCTATGATTTATGAAGTCCATCAAATTAAGTTTGAAGAAACTGATGAATCAGAGCCATTGACAGCAGCTCACTTCCTCTCAGACGGAGATTAACATCCATAGCTTCTGGAATAACAATGAATGATTCAAAATGTAACTGTAGAGACATTAGGTTATTTCGGAAGCAGGAGACTTGAAAAATGAGCAACACATTCGCCGAGAATCGAACCACGGACCTCTGGAACACGCGCCCAGCGTGCAGACCACTACACCACGAAGGAAATCTAAGAAGACTGGAGAAATACCTTATATAATTTTTATGAGATTAAGAGCGTATTCTCAGACAGATTGTTAGAAAATTTTCGAAATGGTGGAAGCATTAATATATTTTTGATATAGCTACCCAATCATCAAATTCAAAAAGTGGGCTTTCTTGATTATAAATTTTGATTTATTACTGTACGATTTAGGTATTATCTTCGATTTTATGAATTTGCATTTTTTTATTATTCTAATTTATCATCATTTTTACTTAAGTATTTTTCTTCCATTTTCTATCTATTTTTTACTTTCCATTCACATATTTGTTAATTATGACTAATCATCTTTTTATGTTTGTTCATTAAAAAAATCATATTGCGTGAGATAAGGTGAGTTTTATGTGAGGGAAGGTCATATTATTAAACACTTTTTTTGAATGTGTAGCAGACTTAAATATTCATTAACTTTAACATGTAGCAGCTTTATGCACGTTTTAAAACCAGTTATGTATTATAATTTATCTTTCGTGATTTGCTTCTCTTTTAACAAGAAGTAACAAAGATAACACAAAAAAGAAAAACAGATAACACAAGAAACAGACTACAGATAATAAAATAAAGAAATAAAACAGATAACACAAGGAAGAGAAGTAACCCGTATTATAATTAGCTAAAAATGTTATTAACAATTTACTTGCATTTTTGAACAGTTCAATTGGATTAATGAATCACTTGATTGTGAAAATTGGATTAAAATTTTAAAAAAATTTTTAAAAAAAAGAATACATTGCATAAACATCATTAACAGCGATTAAAGTAAGACTATAAGGTATTTTCTACTTCCTTTCTGCATGCCTTCGTGGTATAGCAGTAGCATATTCGGAGCACATTCGATAGCTCCAGGTTCGAGTCCCAGCAAGAATACTGCTCATTTTTTATGTCTCCAGCTTCAAAAATGTCCTAATGTTTCTACAATGGCACCCAAACTAAAAGGTGGTGGATGAGGATGCTTCACCACCAGGATTTGGCGACTGGGTTCTCTTAAGCCCCAGTCGCCTTTTAAAAGGATTTTCTGCATACCTTCGTGATGTAACATTAGCACACTTGTTCTGTATTCGAGAGGTCCATGTTCAAGTCCCAACGAGAACTTTGCTCATTATCATGTCTCCAGCTTCAAAAATAGCCTAATGACTCTTCAAGTTTTGAATGGCTTATGAATAATATTTGTAAGTGAACTTTAGCAGTGCTATTTAGTTCAAACTTGGTAAAAATATCACTTATTGCTTTTATAGTACAATTCCCAGGCAATTTTGTGGTCTGTATCGCCCAGACGATAAAGTGATTAGGGAAGCCTACTATGGTACCGAAGGGCTCGTTCTTCCTCAAAATTGGATATGGAAAGTCCAACCTCTCTTCGGAGTAGGCTCTGGCAACAATTGTTCCATATAATATGGACAAGAAAACAACAACAACATAGTACAATTGCTTACATATATCTCATATTAGACACACTTAAATAAGGTTTGTTCTGCTGTATATAAAAATAACTCATAAATGCTACGATATTATCTACTATCACTATTGTTATCCTACGTGTCTTTCTTTTTTAGTATTTTCTGCAACCAAATTTTTTACTTTGGTGGTTTGAAATCTTTTACATCGTTTTGCGATAATTTTTTTTTTTTTTTAACAGGTCTTCTTAACCGATCTCTGGATAAGTGGTAGTTGCCTATAGATACAAAGATGACCAACAGGATACAAGCTAGATGAAAGGATAAAATTTTAAATAATTTTAAATACACTCACCTTTAAAGAATATCCAGTAGAACTACTAATGTAGCCAGTGTAATTGCTGTACTGTTTTATTAAACACTTTGCTGTCGGTTCAAAAGCGCAGTTTACATTTGGGTTCAACCATAAGTTCGTTTTACCATTTTTGTAATGGAGACCTGTGACGTAATTATTAGGATTACAAATAAAGTTAGAAAAACATAAAAATCTTTTACACTTTTTATATCGTTTATACTGTTTTAAGTCCTTAGTATCTTTGGATATATTATAGATCACATTTCCGATTTCATAATACTTATAACTGCTTTTCGATTGCTATTGAAGAATAAATAACGTTTCTAAAAGTAATTTTGAGATGAAACAAGAAAATCAAATTCCCTGCATATCTAGAAAATGTTGCTGATCCTTTTCCTGGCATGATTCTGAACAAAATTAACAGTAAAATATTTTCGTAGTACTTTGACTAGCATCAGAAAAAAAAAATTCAAGATATCAAACGTGGATTACTTCTTCAAACTAATATGAGCCTGATTACCGCTTGTGTGCTTTTCACCAAAGCATTAAAATATTAAATATACGATTTTACTTTTGACTAGCTTCCATATATCAGCATTTTACTGTTGTAAATGTACGTAAATATTAATAATTATTTGATTATATTTTTTGTGCCTGTGTGTGTATTTTATACTGTCATTTATTATTTTAATTCATAAATTTGTTTGTTAGTTTTGGCAATTTCTGTAATAATTTTACTTTGTATTTTTGTTTAATGAAATTTGTGGCCACGTTTTCTGTTTGAAAGTCTTATTTCGTGTATCGTGTTGCAAACTTTATATTTTTGGTATGTAGATCGATTATTGAATTGTGAAGTTAGTTCAGTTAAAAACAGATATAAGGCCAGAAACTCTGCTGAAAGCATTTGGCTACATTTGACGATTTACTGCGAAACCGGCGATATACAAGAAATTTTTTAAGGAAACGCGTACTCAAAATTTTAGGAGCTTGGGCCCACCAGCGGCCGAGCGGTAACATCGCTGAACACTGGTAGTTCGGTCCGAGGTTCGAATCCCGCGAACGGGCTGGCTGCATGGGTGTTTTCGTGGTTTTCCCCATGTGTAACATGTATACGAGCCAGTTTCCCTTAAAACGTCCTCCACTACGGCATCCCTCCCTTAAGGCAGATAGCCCTCGAGTGCTTTAACGTAATCTAATAATAAACCAAACCTCTTGAAGCTTGCTAGGCGACATTATAAATACGGCTTCACGGAGGCCGAGAGTCAGTTCAGTGAATTTAGTAATTAATTTCAGCAACTAGAATTATTAAGTTTTACATTTTGCTCTGTAAATGGCTTTTTTATCAACAAGATCCTTTGCGTCTTAAATATGCATTTGACAATCTCGTTGACATATTTATTGATATTTATCTTTTTGGTTATTTGGTGTAGTTATCAAAGAGGTCTGTACTAGCTCGTTGCTCACAACGATACTAATCACTTACGATACAGCATTTTTATTAACCTGATAAAATGCGAGAACTGGATTTTGAGCATTTAGGAGCTGACAAGAAATATTGGTCAACATTTCTTGTCAGGTCCTAAAATAAGCAAAAAGACAAAATACTGAATAAATTCTCCTGTTAAAAAAATAAGCAAAAAAGGCAAAGTACTGAATAAAACAAAAACTATTCAATGAATATGCATGAAATTAATCCAAGAGGTCGCTATGGCATTACTAGAAAACTTAGGAAATAATAAAGCACAGACATACAAAAACACATGTATTACTACCATCAATATCCCGAAAAATCTAATGGATCGGAATAATGTGTTATGGAAACAGCACGCTAATAACGGTTATGATACCCTCTAGCTGAAATGCATGCTTGACAATGGCGAGGCAAGATGGCAATAATGTCACTGATCCCTTGCTGTGGCAACTTCGCCCAATCCTTGTCAATCATAGCATGTCGGAGCTCGTGGAGGGTATCTTGCGATTCGATCTGCTATCCGATGTCCCACATATGTTCTAAGATATTCAGGTCCGGGGATCTAGAAGGCCAGGACAAATGTGGGATGGTTTCCTTCTCCAGATAACTCTACATCACTCGAGCTTTATGCAAACCGGCGTTATCGTCCATAAATATAGCGTCGGTACCCATTTCAACAATGAAAGAACGCACAATAGTGTCAGGTAGAGATCCATGATATCCTAGCCCATACAAGTAAGCCTCCTCCTCTGGAATGGTCGATGATCTTTGGCACCCTAGAGCGTATCCCTGGCTCTCGCCATATCATTGTGCTTCGGGAATCGTTCTGGATGTTAAACCGAGGCTCATCCTCGAACAGTACACGGCCCCACTGTTCTGGTGTCCAGCTGCGATGTTCACGGACTCAGTTCAACCACGCACTGACATGCGAGGGAGACAATGGAACAGAATCCGCAGGTCGTCGTCGGGCGTACAGTCCACCTTCTTGAAGTCAATGCGGCACAGGAGGATGTGGGCCATCCTGCAGCAGCAGAAAGATATGACACCAGCTGTCGTGCTGTTTGTATCCCTGACGTCTTGCACATAGCAATAAGAAGCGATCGTCTGCCACTGTGGTAATCCTCCGAATCCAAGGTCTTCTGCAAGGGTTTCGATCCCTTTGGTAACCATTCCACAACCTATCAATGACACTACGATGCACATTCAGCTTTCTCGCAACAGCATAGTGTCTTGCACTATCGTGCAACATTCCCACAGCCCTCCAACGGATTTCATCCTTCAGATAGTGTCTTCGGCTCTTTTTATCCACTTTGGTTGCTTAGGACTACACGGAACTACCGCTGCTTGTAAACTGATACATAGTTGCGGCATGCCCCTTTTTAAGGCGTTGTAGTGTAACTGCGGGATTGCGTTTTATGCTAATTTTGGTTTCTTGTTTCCATTCAGCGATACAACCTCTACCTCATATATAAAACTAGACAGTTAATCCCGGACCGGCTGGTTTTGTTAGGCGAGTTCAATTTACGCAGGTAAGAGGAAGAAAAAGGAAAGGTTCCGAAATGGCTTGCAACGGGAAGAGTTTAGATCGCGGAATGGCTTTTAGTGGGCACTAGAGATATGCTCGCTGGCTTATTCCTAAGCCGTGGAAGGAGTTTCACTGCGTATTTTTGTGCTCTGTGTTTTATTGAAAATTTTGTTTAAGGACGGAATAATTTTTATCAATTCATCAAACAAAAATATTTTGAAGAGAAATACTTGTTTGAAATGTAAACCTTGTACGTATGCTTATTTAATTTTCTTAAAGTTTTGGCGAAATTACATAATTTTGTTTATTCCAACGGAATCTAATATTTACTAGAACTCTTATATTTTGGTAAACTAACTAAGTATTACGGGAAGTTACAAATAAGTAACTGTAAAGTTTTTATTTACTTGAAGTATTGTAGAAAATTGCAACTGTAAGTTTTTGATATTTATAATATTTATCGCTACTATGATAACAAAAAAACATAAACTTTTTTTAAAATCTGGTACACAAAATAATGTGTTTTAGTATGATATGATGCATTTTGATGGAGCTTTAAAAGGCCTATCTTTATACGAAAAGAGCATTGTATTCACTTCACAATTTAGTTTTAATTCCATTTTATATAAAGAACAAGTTCTTTCCAGATCTTATTTATAAATTTAACGCAGAATTTTTAAAATTATGTAATCAAAATTTAAAAAAGAGCAGACGATCAATAAAAATAAGAATAATAAATCTTAATTCGTACTAACAAAACGCTAGCTGCACTCACAAAGCACGAGTCGGAAATGAATGCAGCGTCTTTTCCTCTCTTCCTCATCGCTACTTTCAAATACCATACCTACAAATCTTAGACTCTTCCAGAAAACAAAAGCAGCCGTTCCGGATTTGAGAGCCATAAATACTGCATGTTTATTTGCCCTTTTTATATTAATGCATTTTCTTTTTTGTTGTTAGTTTTTTAGCACAAGTGTAAATCGCATATAAATAAATTTTATTCGCAGCTGTTGGAAAGAATCACGTGATAAACCGTCACTTTCAATATAATTGTATGCTGTGTTACATGAAGTCTTAGGTATTTGGGCCACGAGAACGACCCGTGTGAACGTACTGCTGCAATCTATTCTGTGGCAGTTTTGAAGGATAATATCTGATTACATACACTAAATGTTTCTTAAGAAACGAAAAGTGCCTGCTATATGTGTGTTTTAGATAGTTCTCAAAGAATTCTCAATAATGACATGGGCCTCATATACCATTTCTTGAGAGAAATTTTATGTTTTTTTATGAATTAGGTCTAGGCTAGAATTTAAAAATTGTATGATAAAATTCATGACTTTTTTAGGAGCTTGCTTGATCAAGCAGTTTTTGTAGCGGTACATTTTCATCATCTAGTTTTTATAATAGTTTTGTTTGAATCTGTTTCAAAGTTTTGTAACGGTTTACTTGAATTTGATCATTTACATTGTAACGATTTTGTTTGAATCTGATCATAAAATTATCGTAATACTTTAGTTTGAATTTAAAAATGCAGTTTTCTAACGATAATTTGATCATACAAATTTTGTTAAATGGTGCAATTCTTTTGTGATATTATGGTCTACTGTATATTGCAAATGTATTGAAATAAAAATCTTTAAATATTTACTAACCTATTAACCAGTATTTGACTATTATAATAAAATTTAATGCAATGCAATTTTATCTTATTAATTTTTAGAAATCAGCATAGGTGATATGCTTTGTTAATTTATAAGTCTGATATATTTTAATATAAGTAATTGCTTCACCTTTATCAATGAGACCACGTGTAAGTTCTTGACCAATCAAAAAACCAATAGTTCCAAAATTCAGGTAGCTAAAACAAGTGTATCAATTAATACAACTCATCTCTGAAAAGACAACAAATCTCTGAAATCATCAACTCATCTATTTTATAATCATTATAAATAAAATCATTGACAGCATAGATAGTAGAAATAGTAGATAACAGCAATTTGCGTTTCAATTAGAGCTAAAGAAATATATGAGGTATATAAATAACTTACTTTGGCCTATCTTTATTGAAGAAAGGCTTTTGTAATAATGCTACAGGAAAATCTAGAAAATAAATGTTAGTTGTTGAAGATATACCGAAATAAAGAAGCATAAAATTAGCATAAATTTGGAGTTCAATATGTTATTTTTAAATTTTTAAATATGCAATGCAACTACATAATTTTGGGACTAATTTCTTTAATAAACTCTAAAAAAAACCTCTCAAGCAATAATTTACAGTATTTATTACGAGGATATCTGAGTTTCTAAAGCATTGTCTGCTTACAATACAGTTAATACAGTTAAAAAACATTTCACAATTAATAGTTTTCTAAGGAGTTAATGGTTTGCTTTGATTCAGTGAATATTGTTCTCATGGATTAAAAAGTTGGGCAAAGAAGAGTAATAACGTTTTGCTGTAAAGCGAAATTAATCTCCTTTTTAACTTCCTTGTGAATTGACATGAATTACGGTGGAGACGTGTATTCGACCTTTCGGTCTTTACTCCACAGTTATTTTCCCTACTGGGGTACTCTTATTAGACATAAAAAACATTCGTAAAAGGAGTTTCAGAAGAAACTTAGTATCTTCCTTAAGAAGTTATAAGCAAAACATTCGTAAAATAGACATGGTAAAATATTTTGAAGTATGATTTTGATGAGTGATGAAATTGATGCAGAAGAGTATAGATTAATAAAATATTTACAAGTTCCCACAGTTATTTAGAATCGCATGAGAACGATGATTGACAGGCCGATGGCGAATCACAAAATTTCTACAAGTCACGTGGGGGCATGTGACAGCATTTTGAAGGTATTTACAATTAATTACAGATACGATACGAAACAATTAATTAAGTAAAAATAAAACAGCATTCTTGAGTAAATAGTAAATCTTGGATAAATACGAATAAAAGTGAGCGTGATCTTGGTACCAGATCAAGTCCATGTCCCGTATAACAGGCACAGTCAGAAAATGTTGAAGTATTTACAGCAAAGTAGAATTTAAAACACTATCTCCAATTGTTGTTATAAAAGATGGAGCAGGGTCTTTTAACTGTCTGAATGATGCTATGATCATAGTTTCCTAGATTTGTGATAATGTTGTTTACATGTTGATCACAATTTCTATGGATTTCGCAATTTTTTGGATTTCACTGTAGTGTGCCTCTGTCTGTTTGTGTGTTTGTAACATCATCTCCTCGGGAACGGCTGGGTGTAGAGCTTAGTAGCGGAAGCATACCATTGGATTCGGAATGCCCCGTGGCTCGCCGGATTGACCACTCGGCATCTTCGTGCAACTTTAATTAGCCGAGATATTAATTAAAAACTGATTTTCGCCCTACATTTCCCCTACGTTTTGCACTTTCTTTCACGGGTTTTCCCCTATTTTAGGGATTTGGCCTGAAGTGCCAAATTCTGTTTTTCTCGAAATATCTGCGGAACCGGCTCCGAGTTGCGATTCGAAACGCATATCCCCGGTATTCCAAAAAAAATCAACGAATCCATCGATACCGGTCCCATCTTCGTACGACAATAATCGGCGGATTTATTAATTAAAAACTGGCGAAAAACGTTATTTCATTTTTCAGAGTGGCAACCGTCTCGGAATTAGCTGAGATAAAAATTGCTTTTTCGAAAGCAACCGGGGGGATGACAGCTTGCTTCCTCTAGAGCGTTGTGTTGGCGAAAGGTCACGTGTCAATTTCTTTTTTCTTAAATATCCATGGAACGGCGCTGAAGTTGGAATTCGAGACAGGTATCTTCTGCGGATTCTAAAAAATTCTACGAATCCAATGATACCATTCTCATCTTCGTAGGACGTTAATCAGCTGAGATTAATTAAAAACTGTGAAACGCTAATTTTCGGGCTCATTTTTCCGATTGCAACGGATTCTTCAATCGCCGGCAGATACAAATCAAGGTTATATTCTAAAGTTGAATAAAGCACGCGATTGCATGTTACCTAACTGTATTTTAAAAATATTTCGTTAATGTAGGCATTTAAATAAACAGCTGCTTTTCACAATTTTTTTTTAATTTCAGGTTAGGATGATTGTCACGTTAATTCTTTTATTGATATTGAATAAAAGTTATTATATTACATTAAATTTAAATGATGACGTTCTTGAAGTTGTACAACTTTAATCAGCTGGGATATTAATTAAAAAATCTGAAAAAGCTATTTTTTAAAAAATATGTTGTTATTTTTTTAATAACAAATTTGATTTTTTGGAATAATATATTTTTTTATGTTATAGATACGTGCACTTAATTTAGATATTATCTTTAATGCAAATGATATTTTAAATAAGTTCGCACCAATAAAATTAAATTCACACTTTTTTTTTTTTTTTTTAGATTAAAGATTTTTCTTTGCTCCTTTGAGATGGTATACGGTAACTTTTCGAATCCCGGTGAGCAGGCAGGCTACACTCATGTTTTTTGTGATTTTACGCATATCTGTTGTGTATGCAGTGTCTTCTGGATGCATAAATGAATAAAGCTGAACTCTGGTAGTTTCGGTCCTAATTTCGAATCCCGGCGAACGGGCTGGGTCCATGGGTGTTTTTGCGTGATTTTACGCATGTGCCTCGTGTACGCAGCATCTTCTGGATGCATAAGTGAATAAAGCGGCCGAAATTCGCTCAAAACCTCTGATTACTGGTAGTTCGGTCCAACTTTCGAATCCAAGCGACCGTGTTAGCTCAACGTGTGTTTTTCGGGATTTTTCGCATGTGTAACGTGTATGCGGTATCTTCTGCATGCATACTTGAATAAAGCGGGAGCAGCCCGCGCAAACTACAGAACACTGGTAGTTTCGGTCCAACTTTCGAATTCCGGGGTACTGTACATAAAATTTGGTCGCATACGTGAATACAGCGCGCGGATACCGGGTAAAACCGCTGAACACTGGTAGTTCGGTCAAACATTCGAATCTCTGCGAGCGGGCTGGCTGCATGGGTTGTTTTCCTGATTTTCCGCATGTGTATAGTGTATAAAGTGATTTCTGGATGCATATGTGATAAAAGTGGGCGCAGCCTGCTCAAAACCTCTTAACACGCTGGTAGTTCGATCCAACTTTCGGTGTCGGCGAAACGAGCTGGCTCCCCGGGTGTTTTCTTGCTTTAACTCATGTGTATCGTTTATGCAGTATCCTCTCCATGCTTATGTGTATAAAGCGGGCGCAGCCCGGTCCACAAAATCGCTGAACACTGGTATTTTCGGTCCTACTTTCGAATTCCGGGGTACTGTATATAAAATTTGGGATGCATACGTGAATACAGCGCGCAGATACCGGGTAAAACCGCTGAAACACTGGTAGTTCGCTCAAACTTTCGAATCTCGGCGAGCGGGCTGGCTGCATGGGTGTTTTTTCGTGATTGTTCGCATGTGTATCGTTTATAAAGTATCTCATGGATGCATACGTGAATAAAGCGGGCACAGAATACTGGTAATGCGGTAATTTCGAATCCCGACAAACTGGCTGGCTCCATGGGTGTTTTCGTGATTTTACGCATGTGTATAGTGTATGGAGTATCTTCTGGTGTATATGTGAATAAAGCGGGGCAGAGCCCCGCGCAAAGCCACATAACACTGGTAATTCCGTCCAACTTTTCGAAATACCGGCGAACAGGCAGGCTCCATGTTTGTTTTCGTGATTTTACGCATGTGTATCGTTTATGCACCATCTTCAGCATGCATACGTGAATAAAGCGGGCACAGCACGCGCAAAATCGCTGAAAAATTGTATTTCGGTCCAACTTTCAAATCGGCAGCGGGCTGGCTGGAGGGGTGTTTTCGTGATTTTACGCATGTGTTACGGTGTACGCAGTATCTTTTTGCATGCACACGTGAACACTGTTTTGGGCGGGCTCCCGCCCAAAGCGCTGAACACTGGTATTTCGGTCCAAATTTCGAATACCCGCGAAAGGGCTGGAAGCATGGTGTGTTTTCGTGATTTTCCGCATATGTATAGTGTATGCGGTAACTTCTGGATGCATAGGTGAAAAAAGCGTGGGAAGCCCGCGGAATGCCGCTAAAAAATGGTAGTTCGGTTCAACTTTTCAATACCGGCCAAATTTAACATAGATATATCTTTTAAAAACGAACAATGATAAGCGGGCTTCAGCCCGCTGAGCTGGCGGGCTTGCCCGCTAGTCTATACTATTAAAATCTGTGTGCCTCTGTCTGTTTGTGTGTTTGTAACATCATCTTCTCAAGAACGGCCGGGTGTAGAGCTTAGCGGAAGGTACCGTTGGATTCAGAATTCCCGTGGCTCGCCATATTGACCATCGGCATCTTCGTGCGACTTTAATTAGCCGAGATATTAATTAAAAACTGCTTTTTCCCCTACGTTTCCCTACGTTTTGCACTTTTTGGTCGGGTTTCCCCTATTTTAGGGATTTGGCCAAGTGCCAAATTCGTTTTTCTCGAATAACTACGGAACGGCTCCGAGTTGAGATTCGAAACGCATATCACCGTATTCGAAAAAAATCAACGAATCCGTCGATACCGGTCCCATCTTCGTACGACAATAATCGGCGGAGTTATTAATTAAAAACTGCGAAAACGTTATTTCATTTTTCGGAGTGGCAACTGTCTCGGAATTAGCTGAGATAAAATTGCGGTTTTCCGAAAGCGCCAGGGGGGGGGGGAACATTTGCTTCCGCTCGAGATTTGTGCTGGCGAAAAGGTCACGTGGTCAATTTCTTTTTATCTTCCCAAATAACTATGGAACGGCGCTGAGTTGGAATTCGAGAGAGGTATCGCCGGATTGCAAAAAATTCTCGAAATGCATTGATACCATTCTCATCTTCCTACGACTTCAATCAATTTAGATATTAATTAAAAACTGTTAAAACGCCAGATTTCGCGCTCATTTTTTCGATTGCTACAGTTTCTTGAATCGCCGGAGATAAAAATCAAGGTTAATATTCTGAAATAAAGCACGCGATTGCATGTTAACTCACTGTATTTTGAAAATATTTCGTTAATGTAGGTATTTTAAATAAACAGCTGCTTTTTGCTATTTTTTTTTATTTCAGGTTAGGATAATTGCCG